AAGTATCGTAAAAACATTCGCCCCTTACAGACACACAAATACACGCTGACACACCCATATATACCACACATACCTTTCTTCATGCCTCCCCTAATGCGCACACTTATGTCCACACTCAATGTCTCCCCTTCCTCGTAGTCCCCCACTGTTGCATATATCACCCCCCCTTCTTGGCTATTCCTAATACCCTTACTGAAAGTTCGGAACGGCTTCTGCGGTGTCCCGTTGCCCTTATCATCTGAACCAGCCAGCCAGTCTACATACAGCGCACTACCCCACGTATCCTCGGCATTATTTTGCACTCTCTTATTTGGCAGCAGCTTGTTTTCTTTCAACGACTGCACGCCCTCATTCCTCCCATCTCTCCTGCCTACACCCTGCACACTCGCTCCTACGTTATACACATATGTGTCCGATTTCCCTTCTAGCGGTATGTCACGCTTGTCACGTACCATAACAGTACTGAGATCCAGATCATTCTCATTCTCATTGTTTCCTTTTACTGCTGTACATGCCATCCCCGTATTGTCCAACATACTGTCCATATTGTCTACAACCAGGTCATAGCACCAGTCAGGCGATGCCACAGACACGCCACAGGTCTTCTCTGTACGAGATGGTCGGTATAATAGTATCTCAGGCTGAGATATAGAAAAATGCCGTTCAAAGTCACGTGCTTGCACTGCATCGTGTTGTATGTGTGCGTGAGATGGAGATCCGGGATTGTTATGAGATGTGTGCAATGTGTGTGTCGGCGATCGTTTGTTGATAAAAGGTGCTTGTATGTGTGCGTGTACCACGCAACTGACCAGGGCTATATACACACTGTGCTTATAGCCCAGATGTGAACATTTACTGCTGAAGACAACCATAATTATTTGCCATCTATATTCGTATATACTTACCTACACTCGTACACATCTATATATGTTATACTAACTCTATATGTGTATACTTATTTGACGTGCATGCGAGTACAGAAAAAGCTTAAAGTAAGTACTGGGTATATTGATGCAGAACCCTTCACTTTTCTATCAGATTCAGTTCAAGCTAATGTACAGACATGTATATATATATATATATATATATATATATATATATATATATATATATATATATATATATATATATATATATATGTGTGTGTGTGTGTGTGTGTGTGTGTGTGTGTGTGTG